GGCACTAGTCAACCTATAGGACTATCCCCTTTTCAAAAAGAAAGCATTATTGTTTCCTAGAAAGTTTCAGAAAGGGCAGGAAGCAGCCTATCAGTGATGTTTCTCTGCGATGTTTCTATCTTTCTATCCCTCTCCCTTCTCAAATCAATAAAAAAAGAGAAAAGCATTGTTAAGCAAAGGCTTTGTAAAGTAAGGTATTGTTTCTGCCCTTCTTTGCGACCTGAAAATTTTATTATAGTAATAAATTCCTGATTATAAAGTTCCTGATGCTGCTCTAAATTCTTTGTAGCACTTGCCACTCGCTGAAATTATCTTGTTTACCATCGCATTTTAAGCTCCGTGAGAACAAGGACCTTATCTGTCTTTATACCACTGTAGCCAGAGCCCATATGGCTGTGTGCTCAACAAAAATTTGTTAAATGACCACAGCGACCCAAGTAATTTAATTTCAGGTCCCCAAGAACTAGTGCACATCCCCAAGATCATGTCAGTACCAAGAAATCGGAAGTTTCAAGGTCACCTATTTCTGGGTGAAAATAACTGACCCAGCTTTTGTGCCAGGTTAGAGGTTAGACAAGGTTTGAAAATTTGGAAGACAGGTAATTTTCTATGTACTTTTTGAAGCAGTTTTATGAAAGACAAACACTGTAATAAAACCAATCTGACCTCAGGAACCACAGCCCAGTGGTGGGAGGCTGAGCCCCTGGAGAAGAGGCTTGCCTGCTACAATGAGGTATCCACTCCCTCTGCTTTCTTGGCATTTTCCTCTCTGGAACCTATTCCAGGATGATGCACTTTTGAAGCTTCAGCAAAGATCAAAATTTTGACATTATCACTAATTGTGTATGTGACCCCCCCCCCCCATAACTTCTAAAGTACTTCATGACTACTAAAGAGTTTCTGAGTTGTCAGCATATCGGAATTTAATGGAAGAAAAAATCCAGTCACAACTGCAAACAATCAGGGAACAAGGAAAACATTTTACACGCAAAACTGAGTACCAACTTCCAATTAAATATCCTAAAGCACCAACTTTTTATTAAGCTACACAATCTCATTACACATCTAAAGTAAATGCCTCACTTTTACTTGTCTGTAAACAGTACTATCGTCTAGAAACAGTACTATTTTCAGAGAGGTAGCATTGAAAGAAACAGGGATTAAATAAAACATGATTACAACTAAACATGGTGATAAAATCTGGAGTTGAAGACCAATGAAGTTCTAAATCTCTGGTAAATATGCAAAGCCAAAAATTTCTAATTTTTCAAGTGAGTGTGATTTAAGCAGTAGCTCCAAGTAAAAAAACCATTCATCAGCAAGACTTGCAAACCATATTCGTAGTTCTTATTTTACAATAAAGACATCACTGCATTCCCAGAAACAAGGCTAAAAGTAAAACACTCTGCCCAACACTCAAGAAAGAGAGCTTAGCAATGGTGAGATAAATCTGCCAATGGGGGGATCCTCTTAGAAGCTGGTGTCCTTTCTGTATGAAACTGGCAAAGTGGCTGGGAAATACTAGCTTCTACCTAGAAAGGAATGGTGTTTCTTCCCCACACCATCTACACACACACACACACACACACACACACACACACACACACACACGCGCGCGCGCGCGCGCGCGCGCGCGCACGAGTTTTCAGCCTGAAGGCTGAGGCTGTCAGTAGGGCGGGTGGCAGGTGGTGGGTGGCGGGTGCAGGAGCAGTCTGCCCCACTGCAGTGGCCTCTCAGGTGCCAGTGCTAAGACTTCACGGTGAACCACACCACAGGCAGGGGGAGACCCAGGAGGGAAATGCTCTGACCTGGTCTGTAGGGAGCATCCCACCCTCTTCACAATCCCCAAGTCATTAGAGTTGGCGATGTTAGGGTGTGTGAATACTGGACCTCCATAAGCCACAAAACCACCAGCAAGGGGTACCCAACACATAACTGATAACACATCCAAAATGTAAGCTCTCAGTTGGTCCTAAGGGTGTGGGTTACTGTTAAGCTGATTAACAAAATGTAAGCTCTCTACTTGCCCCTGAACTCCAAGTAGTCTAGTAAGTTTTCCCTCCTTCTTCCCGTAGCATATTCCTTAGGCGTTTCTCAACTTCCTTTCATTCTGCTCTATGCTGCTCCAAAAAGAATAACTACCTTCTCAATCACTTTCAGGACCCCCTGCAGAATTAAATATATTTGGCATATATGGCAGTAATGGTGAAGAGTGGGCAGGCAATTTTGTAGAAATCAACTCTCCTGCTGAAGTACGGGACGGGGATTCCTAACTGATCCCCAAGCCAGATGCTCCCACCGCCCATCTCTTTCATCCTCTCACTCCAGCTCATTCTTGCCAGCCTTTACCAGCCTCCTCCTCTCCCCGTGTCTTGGGCAGAATCTTTCACATCAGAGAATACAAAAATGTCCTCTAGATAAGGACATTTAGATAATATCAAATCTGTTCTCAGAGGATGAATACAGCTCTGAGTCCTACTGCATTACCGGTAATTCAAAGCTCACTTCTTTGGCTGGCTGGTCAATGATGGCAACAAACTCAAAAATCACCTCGGGCTAGCCAACCAGCTGCTGTTCTAAAACCAAACACTAGTTCAGAACACAAAGCCCAATTTCTATGCCAGTCAACAGGTTAGAAAAACCCTTTTATTACTTAAAATTACAAATTTTTGCGTATTGCCCAGCATCCAAAAACTGAGCAACAAGTTTTCTTACTACCGTCACTACCAAGTCTGACTAAAACATTATGCAAGGCAGAAAATGTCAAACCTTTGAAGTACAGAGAAAATTGCAAGAAAAAGCCCCAGAAAAAAACCATGAAGTAACTAGAATCAGAAAAATTAATCAACACGCTAAGTAGGATAAGATGAAAGCCTGTGAAATTTACCTTTCCACATGAAGTACAAATATTATTTGCCTTCCATTAGTGATGACTTCTAGAATAGCTCTAAAACACCAAAATACTGGCAATAACCAAACTGAAACAAATTTAGATGGTAAGAGTATCTATCATGAGCTGATAAGACATTAAGTCCTCAGGTCTCTGAAATCTGTGTTCAAAGCCTACTCAATAAAAAAACTACACAAAGATCCTTAAAGATACTAGGTGAGTATCCTATTCCTGAACAGACTCTAAAATATCTTAATAACTAATGTTTGCATAAAAACTGAATTTCACTGTCATCTGTGATTCTGAAAAGAACTTTAAACATCCATATTTTTTCCTTTTTCTCATATTGTTTTTAAAGTCAAAATCTTCCACATGCTTCCAAAAAATCTTACTAAGTCAGATTTTTAATACATGTAAAAACTGAACTGCATTTCATTATGTGAGATAAGTAGTCCCAGCAATAAATCCCAGCTTTGGATTTGGTAGTCGGTGTCTTTTCACCAGTGAAGTTCTCAGGTTCTGATGTGTTCCCTAGTCACTTACTTGAACATCACCTCCGGTAAATCAAAACAAAGCCGCAATGAAGAGGTCTGGCCTCTGAGGGAGTCTAATGGAAAAGGACTCACAGGTGCCTCACAATTGCTTTAAGCAACACTACACTTCCAAACTTCCATGCCACGTGGTCACATGGCCTGTTTCGGGGAGGCCCTTGCTTGGTTTGGCTCAGTGAAGAGCACTGGCCCCTCAGAATGGGCTGGAGAGTTGTGGGTGCCAGTGTGCTGAAGGCAACCAATGTGTCTCTCACATCAGTACTCCTCTGTCACTCCCTCTCCCTCCCACTGTCTTTAAAAATCAATGGAAAAATATCCTTGGTGAGGATTAACAACAAAAAAGAGAAAGACCTATTAAGCTCACAATGACTGAATTAATTGTATTATAAAATAATTAAATTAATTATTTTATAATACAAAATAATTGACCTGAATTTACTTTAAAAACTACTTGTCATGAAATACCTTCACTTTTTGAGTATTTTCACTCAAAGGTCTCATTTCTAACAGATGTAGTGGAATTCACTACATCTTCCATCAGTAATAGAACCAAGTGATCTGATACAATCTTTAGCCTGCTCAATATCCCATTTAATCCCAGGTTTAACTAAAGCAATGATATCCTAACAGACACACTGAGTTAGTGAAAGAAAAATATCCAGTTAAAGCTATGGAGTACCACCGATTCACAAACAAGTCTCTGATGAGATGAGACCTCGGGCAAATCAAAGTTGTCTTCAAGGACTTACCAGAAACTAACTCATTCTGTCTCGCTTTCACACACCTATCCCAATATCAGCTCAAGAATAGTTTAACTTCAAACTTTAACATCGGTGAAAGAAATTCAAGATGTAAGTCAAAAGATGACTGGCAGGCTACAAAACCACTCTGACCCCAGCGCATCCACATGTTACCGCTTTGATGCCAGATGCCATCACCAATAACAAGAAATTCTTTCAGCGCTTTTCATTATCATAAAGTTTTAACCACCAACTTCAATATGGTCATACAATTCACTTCACCGTTTTTGCAAAATCGCTCTGCGCCAAGATCAGGCAAAAACACACCAAAGGACAGCTAGGCTTTCAAAAAAAAAAAGCTCTTTATCAAAGCTCAATCTTTATTTTCAAGCGCACAAAAATAACATACATTTGCAGCTCAAGCCAGGAAAAGCACAACCAGCGTTTCTGTATATCCACCACTAAATTTCTCAGAGAGAAAAATAATTCGAGACAGGCAAATTAAAAACATTCTGCGAAGCCAAAATTAAAAGCTCTTATCCTACAATCCACAGCAGCCCTGCTTCCTCTCCTGAGGGAGCCAACACCACTGAGCCAATGGGCACAGGTGTAAAGTAAACTCATGTCCGTGTGAATAAGACAAAACCATCGATCACTGATTCAACATGAGGCTTTGCAGCCAAAACGAAATACAACCAAAACCACACATCACCTACCCGCCGATGGCAGAACCCAATCAACAAGTTGGAAGGAGGGCAGCACGCGGAGCTCCCGGCCCTCTCCTCCGCTTAAAACACACAAAAGGCGCGGACCCGGTACCTGGTGGAGGTGCCTTTCCTCACGTCACAGATGCTGCACTTGAAGGCTTCCGCGCTGTTCCTGAAGGTGCAGACGCTACAATCCCAAAAGCCTTCGTCCGCCGCGGGCTTCGCTTGTCTTTTCGGCCTGCAGAGGAGCGGGGAGCGGGGCGAGGGCGAGGGCGGGAGGGGGAGACAGCAGTCACAGGCGCCGGTGAGCCGCGGTAATTTCGCAGGAACCCAGGGCTGGAAACTTCGCTCCGGCGACCACCCACCCATCCTTTTCCGGAACCAGAAGGGGGACGCGGCCCCGCCGGCGCCCGGCAGCCTCCGGGCCGCGTGGCCTCCCGCGGCGGCGGCGGCGGCTCGGGAGCTGGGCCGCGGCGGCGCAGGAAGCCGGCGGACTCGGCGCCCCGAGCGAGGGGCCGGGGCGGCCGGGCGGCGGCCGGACGGGCGGGCGCAGGCCGCCCCCGCCTCGCCCGGCCCGCGCCCGCCCGCCCACCTGGTTAAATCTCCCTTTGTCTGGGCGGAGCGGCGGCGGCCGGGAGGAGCCGCCATGGCTGCGGCGCGCACGGCCGCCGGCCCGAGCGCGGCGACGCCGCCCCCGCCCCCATCTCCATCTTAGCGGCGCCTCCCCCGCCCGGGGGCTCCGGCCTAGCCGCCCGCGGCCCCGGCCCGCCGCCTCCCCTTCCGCCCGGCCCGGGCAGGTACCTGGTCGGGCTCTTCTTGTCGCCCATGGTCATGGACAGGCTGGACCGCCGCCCCGAAGCCGAACCCGGCGCGCCTCGGCGGAGAAACGCCGTCCGGGGAGCCGTCGCCGACCGACCCCCCTCCTCCCCGCGCGCACCGCCCTCCGCCGCTGCGGCTCGAGCTCCAGCCGCCGCCGCCGCCGCCAGTCTCCGGCCGAGACTAGTCCCTGCCGGCGCCGCCTCCGCGAGTGACTGACGAGGGGCGGGGCCTGGCGCGCGCGTCACGCCCGCGCGGCCAATGGGAAGCCGCGGCCTGCGCCGCGGGGCGGGGCGGGGCGGGCGGACGTGGGCCGGCCGGCGGGTGCGTGCGCTGCCTGCGCTCCGGGGCGCGCGTGCCTGCCGGCGGCCCCGCGGCCCCGCGGAGCGGGCGTGCCCGGCGGGCGCCCGTGGCCGCGCCCGGAGCCCGCGGCGGGCTGGGAGCCGCGCGCGGTCGCCCGGTGCAGCCGTCCTCGACCCGCAGCCCCCACCGCGCCCCGGGAGGTAGTGCCACGCGGGGGCTTGCAACAGCCCCGCCGCGAGCAACGCCTCGAGGCTGGCGGAGCCCCGGAGCCGGCGGGCCTGTGTGGCCTGGGTCCGCCCGCGCCCCGCGCTCCTCTGCCACGCGGAGCGCCCCTGCTCCCGCAGCCCACTCCAGCCCCGCACCCCGCGGGCCCTGGCGCTGGGGCGGGGGCTGCAGAGGGCGTGGCGCAAGCCGCTCCCCCGGGCTGGCTCGGCCGCCGCGCACCGACTCCCTCCGGGCCGCCCGAAGCCTAACAGGGCGTCTCCCTAAGGAAGTGGCTGCTGGAATCCTGGCAGCCACGTGCCAGCAGTCACACCTGGGGCCTCAGCTCCTTTATCCACCACGAGGCCAACTCCCTCCTCCTGGGATGTTCGGGCAACTCAGAGCCCCGTGCACGGTGAGCACGCGGGCCAGCACCTGGCCCCTGGGCAGGACCGCACCAAACCGGGGACGGCTACCCAACGGCCTGGGCCGTGCCGCTCCCGCCCAGCCCTCAGCGCCCAGGGCTCCCCGCCGCGGGAAGGAAGGCGGCCGCCGAACTGACGGGACCTCTGCCCTCAGGCACGCAGTCCTGGCGGGGGAGGATCCAGTGATAAGATAACGCTGGACGGCTGAAGCGCTGGTGGGTGGGACGGAGTTGAGAATGCTGCCAGAGTTGGGGGTGTCGCTGGCACCCACTGTGACAGGCCCCATCCATGTGTCAACAGAAGTGGGAAGGGAAGTACACTGAGGCCAGGGAGCAGGAAGTGCTAGGCTTAGTCCCGGAATCAAACCGGAGAAGGAAAGAGGGAAGGAATGTGCCAACTGAAGCTCGGTCAGCACATGCTGTCCTTTCCAGGCAGGCCCGTGGGACAGCGCCCCTCCGGCCACTCTGCCACCTGCTTCCCAGACAGGAAAGGAGGCAGTGGAGGAGGGAGGCAGGGAGCCAAGGGCCCAAGGGGACTGAGAAAGCCACAGCATGCACACAAGCCTGGCCCTGCGCCCGCAGCCTTGTCCTCCGGGGTCAGCCCAGCACTATTCCAGGACCCCAGCCCTGGGGTGACGGTGCTGAGAGGAAATGGGTGGTAAAGTCCCAGCTGCAGAAGGCCCTCTGGGGAGGAGAACTGGGGAGCTGGGAGCCACAGGTGTGGGAAGGAGACTTCCTTTGTTAGTGTTGTTATTATTAATGTGGAGTAAAATGCACAAATCATTTTGCAGCCCTGTGACTTAATAGATGATAAACACTAAACCTTGGTATCCACCTTCAGATCAAGACAGAATATTTTCACCCTTTCATCCTTTCCCTCCAGAAAACCACTATTTCAACTTCGGTCACCGAAGACTCACTCTCCGGTTTGTGGCTGTCATGTACCGGGGCTTATGGTATGCACCCATATGTCTAGTACCTTTCCTCAATGTAATAGTTGTGGCATTTATCCATATGGTTGCCTATATCAATAGTTCATTTTTGTTTGCTTGCATACGTGTGTAGAATTCCACTACAAATACAACGTAATTTGATGTCACCCATAGGAGACTGACTTTTTTAGTGTTGTTCTTTGTTTTGTGTGTATGCTTGTATTTTAAGCTATTTTACCTTTCCAAAAAAAATACATAGTTTTAAACATGCTTTAAGGGGGGAATGAGAGTCCCAGTACAGAAAACTAATTTCTAGAACACATCAGACCCAGCCTCGCCGTGTGGCTGGAGCTGTAGAGGCTCTCGTCATTGACGCCGCTGAAAGGCGCCTTGTAGTGACTGAGCCACCGGACTCCTCCTGGAGGCAGGCGCTGCGGTGGCCGGTGGCAGGGAAGCCTGAGGGCAGACAAACTCCCTCTGCAGTGTGGCCGTGACCCATCCCTGTGTGAGGTGTGGTGAGGAGCCAGCCCCTCCCCTGCCCCTGTTTCCTATCTGGAACTTGCAGTTCATGTTTCGCTTAAAGAAAGGGTTCTACGGCTGTAAAGATTGTCTGAGACCCAGGGCATCAGAGTAGATGTTGGTTAGAAGCATCTCCGGTAAGTGATGCCACGGATCATGGCAGAGTAAAGAACACCTTCGGCCTCCAGGTCCCTCCAGCCCAGTCACCCTGGCTTCTTTGCCGTTCCTGGAACTGCCACCCTCCCACCAGGGCTGCTCTGTCCCCCAGATAACCACATTTCCTCCTGCCTCCCTTCCTTCAGGTCTCTGCCCCAAGGGCAGGTTTTCAGTGAGGAATCCAGTCACAAGTCTAAAAATCTTGAGCCAAGCTGAAACCGGTTTGGCTCAGTGGATAGAGCTTCGGTTTGTGGACTAGGGGTCCCAGGTTCGATTCCGGGCAAGGGCATGTACATTGGTTGCGGGCACATTCCCAGTGGGGGGTGTGCAAGAGGCAGCTGATAGATAATTCTCTCTCATCAGTGTTTCCAACTCTCTATCCCTCTCTCTTCCTATCTGTAAAAAATCAATAAAATATATTTAAAAATAAATAAAAATCTTGAGCCAAATCTAAGTGCCATGCCTCACTTGAGACAAACTAGATAGACTTGATTCCTAATCTTTTGGAGTTCACATTCTAGTTGAGAAGCCAAACTTTTTGCAATCATAATTAATTATGATTGTGATAACTGCTGCAAAAGTAAAGCACAGGATGCAAGGCTGGCGGGAGGGAGTGAGGAGGGAGGGAGGGAGGCAGGGAGGGAGGGAGGGAGGGAGGGAGGGAGGGAGGGAGGGAGACCCTGAAGAAGTTCCTGCTGCCTGGGGGAGAAGGAGAGCCAGCTCAGAGGGAGGGCCCAGGGGCGCTCTGGAGGAGCTGATGGCCAGTGTCCCCAGGGGAGAGGAGAGATAAGGCTGAGGAGACAGGTTCTGGCTGGGCTGTGGGGAGGGCAGGCTTGGCTGGGAATGGGGTCTTCCTTCTGAGTGCATGGAAGCCATTGTCTTAAGTAAGGAACATCCTATAGAAAATGTTTATGAGATATTTGTGTCCAAAGTGACAATTGCTAAACCAAGGTCGCAAATGTTCTGGAGAATAACAATTTGTGTTTTCTTTTGTGCATTTGGAAATAGGTGGGAACATGGGAATATTACATGGAGGTGGAAAAGGCCAGGTGGGGATTAGATCACAGGCTAGTTAAAATCAGGTGCTCTCTAGAGGGTGTTAAGCTGGCTTCTCAAAGGTGCAGTAACCTGGATGCTAAGAACAATGGGCAGGCCAGCTGAAACCTTCCACTGGAGAAGTTACAGCCTGAGGTACCCCCCACCGGAGCTGCCCAGTAAGGAACTGATGGCTGTACAGCACCCCCTTCTCATCCACACCACAGATACGTTTGCCAACAACATTTGGCGACCTGAGACCGCCTGTGGTCTACCTCAGTGACGGACGCTGGGAGGGTGAGAGCCTGGGAGGAGGAGATGGAGAGGGGAGCTTCAGATTGGCCAGAGAAATGGGCCAGGAGGGGCAGCTGGCGTGGGCCTCTGTGCTTTCTTTTATTCAAGAAAGCAGCAAAAGCTGCTGGTGCCTGCAGAGTCAGGATCTGGATTATTATCAACGTGGCATCCTCCAGTCTGTATTTGCAAACATTATCCCAGGCAGAAAACGTAAATACTCACTGAGACCCGGACTTTGAACCTTAGGAACACCCAATAAAGTTATAAACAAGCGAAAGCAAAAGGCCTTTCTCCAAATAGCTCAGGGCTTACACCACCCCACCCTGTTACACCTTCTTATGGTCTGAGTTCCAAATTGTGGTTTGGGGGGGGGCAGGGGGGGGAGGGTTCAGCAGTGAAATGAGAAAACTAAAGGGTAAAGGTATAAACACTTGTCTACACCCAAGTAAATTACCAACAGTTGATTTTCAGGGGAAAATTTAGAAAGTATGTCTTTCCAAATAGTTTCTTGGAGGGTTGGGTAAATTTTTTTCATCTTTTTCAAATACACGTGACAGTTTATATGGAAAGTCATGGAGGTGGAAGGGAGCCAGCTGGGCTGCGTGGACCCAGGAACCAGTGAAGGGCCAGGAAGGGCCTTGGAGCCACGGAGAGAGGAAAAGAAGCGCCTGGTGGAGGAGGGGAAGAGGCCATGCTTGGAGGCCGGGCAGCCGGCGCCCCTCAGAGGACTGGTGGCCATAGCAGATGGCAGTGCCTTCTTCACAGGCCCTCACTTGATCAGCTCACAAGTTGATGGTTCTGTGTTGGCTTCCTAATCTTCTCTCTTGTCACCAATTTTATCCTTGAGATGTTAATAACCAAGATCTAATGAAACATTCAGAGCTGGTGTTGAGGGGAAAGGAAGGTGAGAACAGTATCGTTGGTGGCTGAAGAGGCCACCCAGAAAGACAATAACTGGGAAGGTCTAAGGTTTTGATTCTAATTGCTAAGACTTAGTGTCCTGTTGGGACCGGTTTGGCTCAGTGGATAGAGTGTTGGACTGAGGACTGAAAGGTCCCGGGTTCAATTCCAGTCAAGGGCATGTACCTTGGTTGCGGGCACATCCCCAGTGGGGGATGTGCAAGAGGCAGCTGATCGATTATTCTCTCTCATC